AGCTCGGGTCAGCTGATTCTGTGGGTTTCCCCATCATGGTCTTGACTCCTTTGTTCATACTTTTCCTCCTCCCTCATTCGATTGCATTCCAGGAGCTGGGCCCATTGGTTAGTTGTGGATTTCTGCATCTGCTTCCATCTGTCTCTGGAAGAGGTTAGAACCTAGAATTTTAATATAAAGGGTGCTGCCAGTAGAGAATGTAGCTCTGATTTTTAGCCAGAGAAGAGTCCACTGAAAGCAAAGTGGATGGAAACACTAAGACAATGGAATGTCATCTTAGAGGGGACCTCACTAGCTGAAGGAGAAGGGCCGGGCTTTATTCATTCCCTGAGATGTTTAGCTAGTGTCTGGGTTCTGCCCACAGCGTACCTGCCTGCAAAGTTGTAAATATGAAGGGAAGGCAGAACCTGAGAAGGAAGTCACGGTCCTCATAGAACTAGTGTTCAGGACAGAGATGGAACATGCACTTAAACGAGGGGTGACTTTGCCAAGAAACCTTTTTAGATATTTCTCTTGTGGACCGGGGTCTATTTTGTGGGTTTGTGGGGTAGGTGTTGGTGATGGTGGTGTTGTTATTTTCACTCACGGTCTCAGTCTGTGACCGTAAAGCCCCTCATACACTGCCATGCATGTGCAGACACAGTGCAAAATTGTTTTGTTGCTCTTTTAAGAACAAGGTCCAAATCAACAGAATAATTTCATTCTTAATTAGACCACATCCCAGGAGCTTTCGCTTAAGATACGTGCCCATCTGGAGGATACTGACAGACCGGAAAGGCCACAGAGGGCCCTTGCCACAGTCTGTGTTGTTTGATTAATGACTACATTCAGTAATGGTGGTCTGAGTGGTGATGGATGTTCCCCAAGGTCCTGCAAAACATAGTTGAAAGAAACTAAGGAAGAGGAAACTCAGACAGTTCATTCCAAATGTATCCAGAGTAACAGGAAACATTGTTTGTTTGTTTGGTTGGTTTGGTTCCAGACAACATCTCTCTCTATGTAGCTCTCAACTCAATATGTGGACCCGGCTGGCCTTGAACTTACAGAAATCTGCCTGCCCCTGCCTCCAGATTGCTGGGATTAAAGGTGTTTGCCACTATGCCTGGCCTGAAACTATTAAAAAAAAACAACAACAACAACAACAACAAAGTTTATCTGAGGGTAATGCCTCTAAGGTAGGAAAAGCCAAGAATGTAGTAACCCCTAGAAGTCTTGCCTTCATTTCTCATCTCATAAATATTCACAAAAAAGTTGACCCAATGTAAGGGTGACCTAAGAGTCTTTCATTTGCTTTTTTAGTGTGCTGTCTTAGAACAAGTTCTTACTTGACTATAATCCCTGATCAGTTATACTTTGATCAAGCTGGTGAGTGATCTGGCTTTGAATGTTTTCTATTTATATAACAGAATCTTAGAATCTAGAGTAAAGGAATTAGTCCTGTGGCCACACATTTTTGGCTATAACATCAAAAAATCTTGGCTTGGTATTTTGGCACTGCAGAGTTCACCATCCTCCTTTTTCATCTGCCCTCAGTGAAGAAGGGGGTGGGGGGGCTGTGGACAAGCTGGGAACATGAGGGTTGTAATCTGAACAAGGGGATGCAGGGTAACACTAGACAGGGATGAGGCCTTTAACCAGCCTAGAGGTCTGAGGACATCTGTCATTGGAAGGGTGGGGATGAGCTGCCTTTTGTGATCACAGATGAAGTGGGCAGGGCTCAGACACAGGCATGAGGGCCCGGATGGTCACGTCACTATTTACCCTTCCTCCCTGTAGATTCCATTGGCCACCAGGATTTGTTCTCTTGCCACTCAGAAAGTGTCCTTCCCTCACTGGCCAAAAGTTCTCTTTTCCTCATCAAATCTTTGCTGGCTACCCCACTCAGAGCGGTCTCATTTCAGATTTATTGGCCAGAGGGAAAGAAGCATCCGCAAAGGTTAGCCCTGATAGCATACTTCATTGTTTCCTGGTTTAGAGCCATTCATCTTGGGAAAGTAATTTAATTCCCTGACTGGGGGGGGGGTCTCCAACAGCTTTTAGAAACTATATATAACGACCAAGCCCAGTATCTCCCCCAATACATTAATTCTTCTGGAGTCATTCTTAGCCCTAAATCTATACAGACTTTCATCTGGTTGCCAATTTTTAATTCTTGAAGGGTTTTTTGTTTGTTTGTTTGTTTGTTTGTTTGTTGTTTGGTTTTTGCTGCTGAGATTCAAAGTGAGACATCACTCATGCTAAGCGTGAGCTTTCCCAGAAAGCAATACTCCAGTCCCGGGCATTTCACGTCATTATTCAGACCCTCTAGCCATACGTGGAAGTCCACTTCTGCAAGAGCCATGCTTGAAACCCAGGAAGAGTGAGTGGGAGAAAGTGTTGTGCGTTCTCACGGAACGGCAACTGTGCTTGTTTTTCTCTGGAGGAAGAGAAAGGGTTCTAGTGAAAACCAACACCAGTGGGAACAGAACAAGTCTTCCTTTTCCCAAGGTTGTTCGTTTCTGTTTTTAATTCATCTTGAAATAGGCTCTCTTAGAGCCTAGGCTGGCTGGGACTACACTGTGTCCAAGGATGACCTTCCTGTCCCTTTGAACTTGCGATCCGCCCACTCCCACCTCGTATGGCTGCCATTACGGTTGTGCTTGGGCTTTTGCCAACTGAGCTACCCATCTAGTCCTTGCTTCTTCTGTCTTGGTTTTTTGTTCTAAGGATAGATTAATAAGCTAAAATATAGTGTTGAATTTGGCAGCAGCCTCGGTCCTGGGATAGCTCTCCAAAGGCAGTGTAGTGTGCCTGCCTTCCTGAGCTGTGTGACACGGACTCTGTGGTCCGGGTGGCCTTAATTGTGATCTGCTGTCTTCTGCCTCCTACCCAGTTCCAAACTCCCGTGCCAGCATCCAAAGGCTGCCGTTCCCTGTGTCTGATTTTTACTACATCAGCTCCGTGTCTAAGACTGTGTTATCGCCCACACAGCATCTTGAGCACCTGCTCATGCTTATTTGAGAGCCTTTCTCAGCCCATTCCCTCCCTCTCCTTCAAGACATGCATTCTCTCCTCTCATTAGTCAGACAGATGCGGGCCTTACGCCTAATTCCCCCCCAATGTAAGCTCACTGGAGCTAGGTCAACAGCGGCGTCAAACATGGCTATACATTAGAGTTTCCTTGGAAACTTTAAAAACAAAATGCCTGATGCCCAAGTCTCTTTTGCAGAGAGTCAGCTTTAATTGCTCCATGATGTGGCCTGGGCCTCAGGATGTTTTCACGTCCTGGCAGGTGGCTCATTATATAGCCAAGGTTGAGAACTGCTCAACACAGTTGATCCCTAGGCTAGGGCTAGACTCTAATAATAGCTTTATTTGTTTCCTCAAGTGGCTTATGTACCACCGTGTTTAAAATAGTTCATGTGAGTATATGAAACTTCAAAGTGGCTAATTTCCACTTTGTGTTAATTTGATAGGTTTAAGGGAAGGAAATACTGTGTTTGGTTTTTTGTTTGGTTTTTTTTCTTTGAAAATTCCATTTCTGGATTACTCTGGCTCACTTGCCGGGGACTGCAGTGTTTTTTTTTTTTTGTTCCTGCTCTTGGAGCAGGGCTGTGCTGGGTACTCAGCTCTATACATCTTGTCTGATCAGTGTGCAGACTGAGGTCCAGAGAATGCATCCATTCACTCAGTACTGTACCCAGGTGGATCCGACGGCAAAATTTCACCGATTCTCTGACCAGGGAAAGAATGGCATGTACAGATATTTCCCTGGACAACAGGGCGCACTGTCTTTCACCTCGGGGGCACACCCTTTTAAAACCTTTACGTTTTCAGCTTAGCACACAGTGAGTGACTTCCGGTAAGGCGTCTTTATCACATCACCGTACATCGTTCTCGGTGCCTTTCATCGGGGTTGCATGCTGTTATATATCAAGAGTGTCCATAAAGTTGATTTCACCTTCACTCTCCAGTTGCCTAAAGCACAGGTCTGGGAGGCCGTTTGATACATGGCATTCTAAACCTACCCTGCCCTATCTGTACTTATTTTTCCTAATAACTTTAGACTTTGTTTGGTTAGCAAAGTCCTGAGGTCTCCAGCACACATTCACTCTGGGGTGGGGAATGAGTAGTGCTGCCCGCCCCTCCCCCATTTTGCAGAAGGGGAAGGTGTTACACTAAAAGTTAATTACCTGCTAAATTCTGCTAATAGCTGCCCTTAATTGGGTCCTTAATGAGCAGAGGCTCGGTGCTGAGCCCTTTGTATGTTGTGCATCGACCTCCCTTTACAGACGAGGAAAACAAAAGCAGAAAGGTAACTCTGCTTTCGCCAAGGGGCATAGCTGCTGCCTGCCTGTGGTGTTTGCGTGTCTGTTTTTGAACTTGGCTTATGGGTAGATTTGGAACACACAACTTTGTTCTCATCTAGACATCTCGACAACTATGTCTGCCATAAACCAATGAAATATACAGCGTTTCTCTGTGTGGCAAATGGCTCTCTGAAAACTATTGCAAAACAATTTTCTGCCAACCTTGACTCTGATCCAGAGGTCAGATGGGCCCTGTATCATCCACCCCCAGCCATCCCAATAGAAGGTGTTTGATGTAAACATCCCCTGAAGGTGAGAAGTGGCTCTAGGAGGGTGTGCACTCTCCATTTACCCCGCCCCTGCCCCCGCCCCCAGCACTGCAAAAGGAGTCCAGCGGCTGCCTGCCTGAGAGATCACTCTGTTATCCCAGAGGCACTGGGAACAAAAGCCATCTCCCCTTCTCACTAATCATAAGTAGCTTTCTCCCACTTTAAGAGTACAAAGACTTGATATTCCCTGCCTTGTCAAAGTACACACACACACACACACACACACACACACACCTGAATGGAGAATGGAAAGTGACTACATAAACAAAGGCAGACAATGTTGTACAGTGATGGAAATCTCTAGGGAAAGGAGGTTCCTAGCAGCCTGAGGGTCATTAATTGAGTGCAAACCCATTTTAAAATGTTGTCTGTCTCCCTGCAGGGCATACAAAACCATTGAGGATGATGACTTGAAGTTTCCCCTTATATATGGAGAAGGCAAGAAGGTAGGTTCAAGTTCATCCCTGGAATGAGAGGAGGCGTCTGTAGCCCCTTGTACTTTTTATAGCCCGTGACAGGTAGTGTGCTCCGCTCAGCAGTTTGGGATTTTATAGCCATGACAACTTGAGCGAACATTGCATCCATCGTTCTTCAGGTCACCTGTCTCGAGGGTCCAGACTGTGGCAGGATTTGAGGGGTATGGGTAAGCAGTCAATTTTGTGAATTTACCATCCCTTTCCCTGCCCATTTAAGTCACTCTTTACAGGGTTAAACACAACCGCTTCCATATATGTCATCGTATTTTATAACTGACATAAGCTCAGAGGCAAGTCAAGCTGGCTGTGTTAGCTCGACTCAGTAGACAAGGCAGCTGGACCTGCACCAATAAAACGGCCCAGCAGAGAACAGCCCTGGTGTGGAACTCTGGCTTTCCACTATAGTTTGGTACCCTTCCTTCCCACCACCGACATTCTAGACTTTGCAAGCTGGCTTTCTTGCTTGCCCAAACAAAGGGATTCCGGAGAGTCATTGCAGTCACACTACAGCATCCAGAGCCCAGACTGAGGTAACAGAACCATCACTGGGTCTCAGCGCCCCTGTCAGAAGCAAACGTTGGATGACACGGTTGAACCCAAAACAGGCTGTAGACATGAGATGTGTGTGAGCAGATTTGAAGGAAGTCCTGAGATGAATAACCTTTGAACCCATACCCTACGAACACAACTCACTTCTATTCGCAGCTAAGAATTTCAATTAGAAGTGGACAGTGTGGCCACGAGAAGATTCTTCAAGTGAACTGTCTATCGGTATTAGATCATATTTATCCAGAAGAAATAACTCACAAGAGTATTAAAGCTGTGTGGCCCAGGCCTGCCCCTCCCAGTCCTGACCTTGATACATGGGTCAATACTGAGTAAGCTGTTGCTTATGTCCTGCGGGCTCTCCCGAACTGGGAAGTGGACTGCTGTCTTTCTTAGAAGGCGGTCAGCATGGAGATTTTTGTTGTTGCTTCTCAAAAATAATTTTTCGTTTGAAGAATTTCATATATGTCTATGATGAAACATGCTATCCATCATATCGGTCACTCCATTTCTTCCCCAGCGGCCCTCCATATCCTCCCCCAACATATACCACTCCCAACTTCGTGTCTTTTTGTTTTGATAACCAGCTTATAGTACCCAATCAGTGCTTCCCTTGAGTTCACGGCATGAGGCCATCCTCTGGGGCATAGGAAACATACCAATGGCCACACCCTCAAAAAAGAATGATTCTCCCTTCCCTAGCAATTTTAAACTGCAAATGAACGCCTCTCTGTGTGAGGGGTGGTGTGCGCCGAGCGACTCTCCCACCTATGCTGGGGTTTTAGTGGCCTTGGTCTTGTACAGGTAAGCACAGCTTCAACAATGAGATTTAAAAGATTTTGGTTAATTATAAAGTCCAGTTCACCAAAATATCCCAAAGCCTCTCAGTTGGCTCATGAAGGAGAGCAATCCTGTGAGAAGGGATGAGGAAATTCTGCCATTGTAGCCTGTTCTGCTTTGGAAAGCTACATGGTAGCCTGTTAGTGCTGTGGAAAGCTACATTGTAGCCTGGTGCTCTGTGGAAAGCTACATTGTAGCTTGTTACACTATCGAAAGCTACATTGTAGCTTGTTGAACTATAGAAAGCTACATTGTAGCCTGGTGCTTTATAGAAAGCTACACTGTAGCTTGTTGCACTATAGAAAGCTACATTGTAGGATGGTGCACTATAGAAAGCTACATTGTAGCATGGTGCACTATGGAAAGCTACATTGTAGCCTGGTGCGCTGTGGAAAAACCACCATATACGTCTCTACTCCACCCTGGAGAAAGTGGGTACACCATGCCTGTCTTAATTCTCCTTTGTTTCTTGGAGTTATAAAAGTTTTTTGTTGTTGTTTCCTCTTTGCAAACTCCTACTCAGGCATGTCAGTATATTTTCACTGCTGTTACTTTTTATTTCCAGAAATTCTTCTTGAATTCTTGTGGGTAACACCTGTATACATGTTCCGTCATTTCCAATAGCAATTTCATTCTTTGGTCTAAACATAGGCATGTGGTTTTTCCACACGGAGAAGCTGCTGTTACAGGGAAAAGGCAGAATGACCATGAGAGAGACTCAGAATGTACCCATTTCAAACTGAACACTCCTTAAGTAGACTGAGACCCGTCCACCTTCGCAGCCCAGCAGTGAGGGCTTCTGAAGTCTCTGTTCCCTGGTCCCTGGGTTTCACATCCCTCTCTATTTTTGTATAATACTTTGAATCAGGATCTTGTATGTCATGGGGCTCAGTGAAGATGGCTCGGTGGGTAAAGACAATTGCCACCAAACCTGGCAAACTGAGTTGTGTCCCTTCTGTATAGTAGGTGCTTTAGGAGACATTTAAGGTGACTGTGTAGATATTAATGCAGTATGTTAATTCCATAAACCATTATAAATAAGTTTAGAGAAAGCAGGAGGCTACAGCCTAGAAGTCTGGGCATAGACATGTTAGTGACATTTTATTCCTTTCCACCCGGAAAGAATTTGTAGGAATGTTGAGGTAGATCCTGGAGTCGCTAAAGATTTATTTTCTCCAGCCATAAAACTTAGTAGTTGAGATTTTCAAAGACAGAATCTGCCTCAGACTCGCTTCATCTTTTGTTATTGCCTCTGGTGTTGCCAAGGATGTAGTCAGCGTCCAGGGAATGCTTGCAAAGTGAGTGTGTGGGTGATTGGGCGGGTGGTTCGATGCTCTTGATTTAGTATGAACTGATTTCAGCAGCTGTAGATGACACATGTGTTATAGTTTATTTTCAGCTCTCTTCACTCCAGTCCCTGCAGAAGAACACTGAGGATAGACAGTAGGACAACCTAAGCTAAGCAGTGATTTTGATGAACCTGCCCTTCCTTCTTAATAGCGCACATCTCCCTTAACAGCCAGCAGCATAGATGGAGAAGCAACCGGAACTGAGGCAGGATGCTATCACTGTGCGGATCTCTGCTAACTCTGCTTATATTCCTAGGCCCGGGTAATGGCAACTATTGGAGTGACCAGGGGACTTGGGGACCATGACTTGAAGGTTCATGACTCCAACATCTACATAAAACCATTCCTGTCTTCAGCTCCAGAGGTACCACATGAAGTTTTTGTGTATATTCTGTACAATAACATATTTTGTGCATTATGCCTTCCCTGACCTCACCCCACATCCAAACAATGGCCAGCATGGGTTACATGTGCTAATGTCTCTCATGTCCCCCTCTTCTCCCTTCGACTGCCTGGATTCATACACTCACCATCTCCTATAGTGAGCCATGCCGACTCCTCCCACGGGTCACTATAGAGTGGCTCTTTCCAAAGGACTGTTCTGATTCCTCACATCTCAGTCTCCAGTGGCACCACGTGGCTTGGAGCACAGCCCAACTCCAGTCGCCATTTCAGGCTTGCTGTTTGATCTAAGTTTTTAATCAGATCTTTGTTCCCCTTCACAAACCAAGTGAACTCAGTTACTCTGTGTGGCCTTCGGTTTCTCATGCTTGTTTACGTCTAGTCTTGCCAGGAATGCCCCCCCTCCCCATCCACAGCATCCAATTCTCTCTGTGGTTTAGCTCAACTGTATCTCCTAAGGCAGTGCTTCTCAACATGCGGGTCCCAAACCCTTTGTCTCCAAAAACATTTACATTACGGTTCATAACAGTGGCAAAATTACAGTTATGGAATAGCAACAAAAATAATTTTATGTTTATGGAGATCAACACAACATAACATGAGAAACTGTATTAAAGGGTTGCAGCCTTAAGAAGGTTGAGAACCACTGGTCTAGGGACATCTTGATTTCTGTCCCTCAGAGGAAGTCATATCTTTGTCAACTCTTCATATTACACAAAGAAGAATTTTCTGAGGCGTTTTTGGTCAAGACTTGTAGATAAGCTGTTTTTTTATTTTATTTTTTTTAATTTACTCACTCCATTTTAGTTAATCAGAGGATTTGTGTCATTTGAAGAAGTTCATTAAAAAAATGTTTGTCATTTTGTCTATTTAAAAAAATCCAACAATATTTCCTACAATTCTGGATATCTTATGATATTATGTTGGTTTTCATGGTATATTATTTAGAAAAGATTTTGTTTCCCTGTTAAAGAAAAAAAAAAATCTAATAATAGAAAAATTAATTGTAGGCCAAGGATGCTGGCACAAGTGTGTAATCCTAGCACTTAAGAGACAGAAGCCTAAACATAACTAAAAGTTCCAGTCAGCCTAACCTGACTTGTTAGGTTACATAACAAGTTCTAAGCCAGCCGGAACTACATAGGGAGACAGTCCAGAAAGACAGTGGCACACACCTTTAGTACCAGCTCTTAAGAGGCAGAGGGAGATGAATCTCTGTGAGTTCAAGGCCAGCCTGGTCTATAGAGTTAGTTTCAAGCTAGCCAAGGCTAGATAACGACCCCCTATTCCAGAAAACAAGGAAACCAAATGTAATGACGGTTTAGGGATGGATTTTTCTCACACAGTAAACTCTGTTTTTGTTGTTGTTTTATGTTTTGTGAGTTTAGGCTTTGCTTTGTCATCTTTTTTTTTTTAATTTATTCTCTGAGAATTTCATATGTGCCCGTATATATTTTGATCAATTTCCCCCAATGCCCAGCCCCCCAGCCCCCCAACCCCCCCAGTCCCCGTTTCCATACTATATCCCCTCCCTTACTTCATTACTTCATGTCCTCCTCTTCTCTTCTCTCTCTCTCTCTCTCTCTCTTTTTTTTTTTTTTTTTTTTTTTTTTGGGTGAGGGAGGTGAGGGTAGGGTGGGGTTTTGAGACAGGGTTTTTCTGTGAAACAGTCCTGGCTGTCCTGGAACTCACTCTGTAGACCAGGCTGGCCTCGAACTCACAGAGATCCACCTGCCTCTGCCTCCCAAGCACTGGGACTAAAATGGTTCACCACCACCACCTGGCATGTTTCCTTTATTAGATAACCCACTGAGTCCCATTAGTGTTGCCCGGATGTACTTAGGTATTGGGTCATCTTCTAGGATGAACAGCATACCAGGGATCGTAACCCCTAAAGCAAAATGACTTTCTGTCCCCTAACATTCACCAGCTTCCCGGTAGCTCTTCAGCTAGGGATAGGGCCTCATGGGTATCTCCTCCAAGAAAAGTGTGGGGATAGGCTCCTTCCTACAAATGCTCACTCTTCTAGCCTCAGAGGAGGTTTCGGGAGAGATAACTTTAGTTCCCGATTTCTGGGGGAGAAGTCAGCAAGTCAGAAACCAGCATTGGTTGCCATACTGTGAAAAATGAGCTATTAAAGTGCCATGTTACACTGGAAATGTCCAGAATTTATATCCATAGTTCAATCTGGTTGTTCTGCCCTAGAATGGGTGCTGGGATTAGGAGAAAGTTGTATATTAGAGGTAGCAGTTCATTGCATACTCTACCACTGAGATATACTCCACACATACTACGGCCTAGTGTGTGCGGAGTATAGGAATTTGAGACAGGGGTCTGGTTGTATTGCCCAAGGTGGCTTCAAATTTATGATCCTCCTGGCTTGGACTCCCAACCAGCTAGGATTGTAGATGTGAGGCTCTACCTTACCCAGTGGTACCCAGTCTGCTGTCTACTTAGGAGCATCGTTCCACCCAGCCCCACACCCACATCTATACTGTAGAGAGTTCTTGATGGGCCCACTCACCTCTTATCAAAGGCTATGAGTGAGTTCCAGGCCCACTGTTTGCCCTTCAGACCATGTGCCGGGCTCCGTTATCCTCTGTGGGCACAGACAGTCAGCCAGGCCCAGTTCCTCTGTAGGACTCCGAACAAGGATAATTTGTTTTGATCTTGTTGGCATTGGGAGTTTCCAGGCATAAACATTAGGCGTGAAAGACATATTTCCCTATAGACTCTGGGGTTGTAGGTGAGGTTGCCTTAGTAAAATTGGTAGCAGCCCACATCCAGAGCCAACAGGTGTCTTCTTTCTGAGCTCCTGAAACTTGGCAAGGACCACAGATGGACAGAATGTCCAAAGTACCCTGCAGTTCCAAATCCCTCCACGCTGGCCAACATCAGGACCCGGGAATTATTGTTAAAACTGCTTCTCCACAGAGAAAAGTAATAAATTCTGAACCCTGAACTTTGTTTCCTTTGAACTCCACTGAGTACAGGGTTTGTAACTGGGCCCATAAAACCGTACTTTCCCCCTGGGGGTGGGGGGGGGGAGGCCTTCATCCCACGTGTTAAATGGCACCTTTGTGCTTTGTGGGAAGCCTCCCTGGGGATTGCAGGAAACACTAATTAAGCATTTTGCTCTTTCAGTAGCCTTAAGACTCCTTTCTCCGGCTCCCTCCCCCGTGCACACAGGCAGGTACTGCTGTGTGGTTGGAAGGACGGTGGCCTGCCTTAGCCAGCCACAGTGCTGCCCTTTGTCTTGCAGGCTCTGCAAAGGGCTTTCAGAATGGGGATCCGAGGGCCTGATTGTTGGCTGCTCAGTTTAGGTGTCAGAAACGGCTCTCTCATGTTTACCTGAAACTTTGTACCTTTCCAGTGTCTGTCTCCTCATCCAGCAGACTTAGGATTTTACAGGCAGCGTCTCATCCCTACCAGAGCAGTGATGTCAACAGTTATTGTGCCCGTGCTGTATACTAGGGCACTGGCATTTAGGAAAATACAGTAACTCCCCACGGTTTTACAATGGTCGTGTAGTAAACTGCACTTACAACCACATCTAATTAGTGACAGCTTAGGGTCAGAGCCACTCAACGGGTTCTAGGGCTCAGTAGAGGACACCTCTGTCTTTAACATGAACCCTTGCTCTTATTGCCTCAGTGGCTAGAGTTTCTCAGAGCAATACTGTTGACCTCAGACTAAAGCTGAAGAGGACGGCGTAGAGGGAAGGGTAATTGGGAACGACAGTAATGGCCTCTGTATGTAAACCTAGGCCAGACAGAACTGTGTAAAATACGATGGCGTGCCTGCAATTTAGCTTAATGGATGTGTAGTGTATATACCAAGATCTCCTGCACAAGATTAAATTTGTTATACATATTTTAAATGTTTCCAGATGGAGGGGCCTTCGCCCGAGTCAGGAGAAGGGGGAGGGTTCCATTAGAAGAGGAACAGTTTGAACCGACTACTGTAGAGGTTAGAACAGATAGAGAAGATACTCTGTGTCCTTGTGCCGCCCTCCCCCGCCCCCCAGTCTCAGTTCCTTAAGGCTAAAACCCTTTACTCAAGGGGATGGTGATAAAATCATACCCAAGAGAGAAATGGCTAGGCAGCTTCTGTTGGGATCCCAGAAAGGCAAGTTAATTTATTTAAGCCATCTAATGAAGAACTACAGGCTCCCTTCCTGTCTTCGTTACCTCCCCCTCCTCTCTCGAACCACCCCACCCTCCAGCCCTGTGACTTCGCCTTCCTCCGAATATTTGCCTGCTAAGCTTAGACTCTGCCAAGCATGGATTCTTTATTTCACATTTGGGTTCTAAATTTCAAATCCACTTCAGTCTGGTAGTTTTAAAGACTCCGGGCTGGGAGGGCGGGGGAGGAGGTGAAGAAATGCGATTTAATTCTAAGAAAAAGGGCTCAAAAACCTTCTTGGAAATTACCATTGTTCCCATTCATCACTGTAACTCCTAATTTGATTTGACGAATTAAATATAAATAAATCAAAACCATGTGGATCAAATTTATGTAAAAAATGCACAGGGGTTTAAAAATTAGAGAAGGGTTTTCTTCCTAGCCAAACACATCTTTGGTTTTGCTGAACACAAGGCACTGGAAAAATCTTGAGTTTGCCAAACCTGAGGAGCAGCCGCCAGGTTTCCTGAGCCTCCCTCAGACCTTCTGGGGTCTAAAGCAGAGATTTCTGGCCAAGACCCGAATTCCACAGGAGGCCCTGCCTCGGGAGCAGGGAGCTGCTAGCAGCAGGCTTGGGGGGAAGCGTGGGGGCCAGTTCACTCTCTGGTTGACGGCACCTGGCTTTCTTTGTGGGGCTGAGTGGGCTGCAGCCCCTCCCCGATGCTCTCCAGCCAGGTCTTCCTCCTGCCTAATTAGGAAGCTCAAGGCTACTCTGGGCCACAGCAACCATGCATGCAGATGGGAGAGGGTTTGTTAAGTCTGGGGCACTAGCGCCCA